TTTTCTAAAAAAAAAAAAAATGAGAAAATGGGTAAAACAGTCAGGTTTTGTATTTTTTTTTTTAGAAAAACTGAATCCAGATGAGCAAAGATTTAACTTTTACCTACACGAACAAATTTTTTTTCTATTAGAAAAAGTTAAAAAAAAACTTTAAAAGTGAGGTACTACGAAACCCTTGCATGCTCTACTCTAAAGCCAAGTAAATACTTTTAAATAAATTTAATCTAGTTTTATTTTTTTAATACATTCCATTACATTATCGTACCAAAGAATGCTGTCTTTTTATATTTTCTTAAAAAAAATCCAGCATTTGTTAGAGGGTGCATGAATTTTTAAACGCCTTCGGCGGCGGTGGATCGACGCTTTTCTCTTCCTTTGCGGTTCGGTTTCTATTAAACTCGGGAAACGGGAACGCTTATTGTCTGTAAACGGGAAAGAACGAATTTGTAAACCGATAGCATAAAAGTGGCGAGAAAGACGTGACTTTGGTCGAACGCGGTTTCGACTTGGCCCGTTCGTTTCAACCTTCCAGCAATTTATTCTTGAAAATTTACCGTTTTGCGGAATGCCGGTTAATCGTTTACCGTTAATGTTGTGCTTTATATCTCGGCTTACGTTTTATTTAACGTTGTTTTAACATCGTGAGATGGGAATGTATTTTTAACATAGTTTATCCGCTTTGATATCGATACGAGGATGATTCGAAAAGAAGTTTTCCTACGACCACTTAGGAACAGGGGCGGTTTCTCCATTGGTTCATTTGTGCAGTGAACACCCAGTTAAATTTCATAAAAACACATTATTTTAATATTACATAAATAACATAAAAATATAAATTTAATTTTAATATTTTTATTTTCATACGTGTTAATCTATATTTTTTTGGTACATCATTGTCCTCTGGCTGATCTTGTCTCTGTATACCTAAGTATACTGTGTCTGTGGCGCACAAGGATGAATGAGCCTAATACGAGTGAGACGATATGCCGAAATGCATAAAGCTAAAAAGAGAAGACAACACGCCAACTGATCCTTCAAACTGTCAAAGAACACATTAATTGGCGCACCGCTCACAAACAAGTTTACCAAACCAGTGTTGCCAGTCTAGTACAATTCACAATTGTACTAGATGTAGTACTTTCTGCGTGCATCAGTCTTCACGTGTAAAATATATATATTGTGTTCCTTGTTTGGGTTCATTATCAATAAAGACCCCCTTTTTTCCCTTTCAATGAATTAGATGTCACTGCAAATAGAATTCGAAAAATCTGATAATTTAAGGAATCTGGTACATTTTTTAGACAAATCTGGTACATAACAAAAACATATTCTGGCAACACTGTATCAAATCAAACAAATTGTCACTGTCATTAGTGTAATTCTCTACTATTAAATAAAAACGTAAGATTATTTTAATTGTGCTTATTTAAAAAAATGTGTTTAATTAAGAACTGTGTGTTCAATAAATTGAAAGATGTGTGCCAATTCAACGATTGTTCCCGAAATTAAAATTTTTAAGGTTATGTTGATTTATTTACATATAATAAATTTTTACGACTCTAATTTGTATTATATTTTGTTTTAGTGTTTAAGGCCATCCAAAGACTACTTCAAAATGGTCTATTTTGTATTCAATTGTAATTACTATGAAGAAAGAAGAGAGCAAAAAAATTTGTAAATTTTTTCTCACAAAACCTGCTAAAAGGAAAAATTGAATTAATCTGATGAGGTCACTAGACATCATTATTGAAATGTACAATACAAATATGATAAAGATAAAGAGACAAATGGTTTTTCACTTTAAAAGTCTGAATCGGAAAAATGGATTAACGAGTTAATTTAATATACTCGATGAGAAATTTTACCTAAGAAATGGTATGTACATTTAAATAGTTTACCTATATAAAGTTATGTTTGCCTGCAATTATCAATCGTGTTACCCTCTAACCAAGATCGTTTGAATTTTTTTATTGCCTTGTTTGTATAATTTAGTATTTTCAAAAATATTAGATGTAATGGTAATTTGAATCACTACAGGTATTAAATAAAAATATGGTTATTGGTAAATTAGTTTAGAGTTGGGAATAAAGAATGTCTCGAAAAAAGTATTGAGTATTGAAATAAGTATCAAACATAAATTGTGATTTTGATTAGGCACTTAACAAGTCATATCCCAGATATCTACATGCTCTTGCTAATCAATACTATAAGTACATATCAAAACATTAATATACTATCTACAATTAAACAATAATTTGGAAATACAGATGAAGCCGATTTACGTATTTAAACAAAATTACTATTATTCTATTTATTAAAACTTAAAACACATTATTTTTTTAGTAAACTTGGACATGCGAAAGCAGCCATGAGGGTAGGACATTAGTGAGTGCAAGAATACTTTGAAATGTGCTGTGAAATACACTTAGAAAGGATCATAATATGGCAAATTAAGTGTGATAACATTTTACGATATGTATGTCACTAGTTTAGTTCACAGAATTCTGTGTTCAATTATGTGCTGCTATTTCAAACTTTTAGTATCCTCTGATAAAAGAAGTTGAATATTATTGTTGACCTTTTGTGAAAACAATCTGTTTGAAAATGGGGACTAAGGGGCTCTGTTAAACTGCGAAGAGTATCATTTAGAATGCCAGGCATTATATGTCTTTATTCTAGTTTGTGTCTGTTTAATATTATGTATTGTGATGGGACTGATCTTATAAAATAAACATTTAAAACATTTTAGTTCTTATTTTATTTGCCAATAAAAGGTATTTCAAAAATATATTGTTTATTTGACATCTTTGACAAATTGTGAAAATGATTAAATTTACAATAAAAACTAAAAAATGGTAGATAAGTTTCATATTAAATTTTTACACAAAAATCAATGTCAAGCTTTCTACATAACCTGATATACGAGTATATTTAAAAATAATCTCAAATTATGAAGAAAAGTCAGTTTACTAACTAATAATGTTTATAGATGGTTTTCAACGTATTAAAAACAAAACAAATATTACACTAACTAAAATATTCATTTATTAATAGTTAATAATAATAATAATAATAATAATAATAATAATAAACGTCTTTATTATACCAGCAAAACAACATTTACAAAGTATAAATGGCGTAGTCTAGCCAAATGGCCATTCAACTTAACCATATCACAAATCCTAAAACTAACTTAAACCTAACCTACTCTACATTACGCTGAATGTCTACGGATGAATTCAAATTTAAATTAAGAACAAGAATTAAATAAAACAAATAAAATAGAATATGAATTAAATATTTTCATTTGCTTGGCTACCAAGAAAATATGATTTTAACATTATTTTAAATGAACTAGTACTCAAATATGATTTTAAGTGTGTATTTAGTGAATTGTATACTTTAGCGACATTATAGCTAAATGACCGTTGAAACATGGCAGTTCTATGTCGTTGTAGTGCTTGAAAACAGTATGATGTTGATAATAATAACTACACTTAATACAAACTCAAATAATAAAAAAAACAGCGATATTGACTCTTGTACAAAGTTTTGATCCGAACTTACATATGATAAAATTATTGGAAAAAGTGAACACCCATTTTAAATTACCTCGAGCCGCCACTGCTTAGGAAAGTGACACCATTTAGTCTAATGGGAAGTGCCCTATGTCACACGCGTGTGGATAATAATCTACTTTCTAAAATGTTGCATTAAGAGAACTATTATTTTGACAAAGAATCTAAAATGTATAAACAAATACAATCAAAAGAATGTATTATTAAATTTGTACAACTTTTCTACAATTTTTTATCACAAACAGATTTTGACCAATTATATTTTTTGTTTAATGTTTGCCTAAAATAAAAAATTAGGTAGTTACATTTAGACATCGTTAGTGTTCTGTGTTAAATTTGACAAAAAGTAAAAAATTCAAATGTTTAAGATTAAGAAAAATGTTCAAATAAACGTTGTTTGCGATATTATTCTCTATAATTTTTAATGTTTTCTTTATAATGAACCATAATGGAAAAATTTGAGGAAAAGTATAAAATTTAAATTTTTCAGTATTTTCGTTGGAAATGAATATTTATTGGGGTTATTGTAATAATAAAATGCTACGTTGGCTTATCGGACGAATCTGCAGTGCGGCAATATTGTTGAAAGTTTGGTCAACAATAAGATTGAAGTTACAATGAACTTAATAATTAAACCCACGATTTTACGCTAGTCAATAGTTTTCTTACCTCAGTCGAAAAGAGACAGTGTTTTATCAGTTGTGTGAAACTTACCTGAAAAAGAAAAAAAATAGGTTAAAAAATTATACAATTGAAAAAGATTAAATATATTTAAATGATATAAAATTGACAATAAAAAAAATTATACATTTGATCACGAAGGCAGAGGTTTCCTGTGTAATATTATCTGAATTTTTTTCTTACTTGTATAAAAAATTACAAATATTTAGATTTATGTTTTATCTGATTATGTTAAAAACTCGTTTAATATTGTCAACCAAGATTTAGTTTAAAAAAATTGTTATAAAAAATATACTTAAAGCCAGGCGTGGGCAATGTATTTTAATACATCTAGACATGTACAACGTTCTTTCAGAGATTTTTTAACCGAAACTACAAAAAAGGGGAACTAAAAAAATTCCTGCCGATAATAAATATTGGGTGGTGTGAATAAAAGCAAGCATTTGCTAACTAGCATATGCTAGGTAGTTAAGTGTTTGCTAATTATCGAAGTGAATAAAAAAAGTCTTAAAATCCGGGAAAACACTACAACAAAGCTAGTGCTATCCGGAAAAGTGTAAGCAAAAGCTACGGGTAGCATATGCTAACCTATAAGCACTAGGTTCACGTCGCTACAGACTCCCTTCCACTAATCCCTCTGCTCTATGATTTCATGAGCTCGGCTCCTGTCACGACAGGTCAGTGAAGTATATGTTTTGTTGGTCAGTGTTACAGTTGTATCTACATAATATATTGGTACTGTCATATCATTATTATCACTTTTACTACGATGGCATCATCAGAGGACGACCGTGATAGTAACGATAAGAAAGACGACAAAAAGATTGATCGCTCATTGTTAGTAAAACTGTTGAAAGACCATATTATATTACTGGATAAATCAAAAACACCGTCCGTGATGAAATCTAAGACATAATCATGGTCTACTCTCAGTGCTAAGTATTCTTCTTCAATCGAGAAACTGTTCACTGTAATACAACTAAAGAAAGTATTGCAGAACATAAAACTACCATAAAAAAGAAGACATATGTAAAAGCTACCGGAAACAAGCCCATTAAAATGAAAAAATGGGAAAATGAGTTCCTACAACTAATAGACCAAGACAATCCAGTATATCACAAAATCCCAGGAAATTTTTCGGTTGGCACTGGCCTATCCACTGCAGGAAACAATATTGTGCACGATAGTGTTACTGAGCAAAATCTAGAAATGGATACGAATGTCTCTACAAGTCAATCGATACATGAAGGTGCTGATCGTATGAAACAGAAAATATGGAAAAGCACAAAGATGGTAGCAAATTACGAAAGTCAAGAAACTATGGATTTGTCCACCACACAACTACAACGAGTTGTATTGTTACAGCAATTCCAAATTAACAAAATAAAACTAGTGAGAGAGAGAGAGAAAAAAAAATGCTCTCTCAAAAACAAAAGAACGAACGTTTGGAAAAGTCAACTCAAACTGTTTTAGAATCGGATGACTTGTATCTTATTCAAGATTTGTAAACTGTGGACTTCTGGTATTGACTGAAAACTAAAAATAGTTTTGTTTGTTAAAAAAAAATTGTTGAATAATCAATAAAGTTAATATTGTTGTTCTTATTGACAAAAATATATTTCCTATTTGTTTATTTTTGAATTTAAATAAACGAAGTCTCCCCTGGTAACTTGCATTTTTAAAATTAGCTGAACTTGAATGAACCTCGTTATGCACCACTATGCATTGAATAAGTATATACTTTTTAAAAACTAAACATTTTAAATTACTGTGAAATAATAAAACAATAATATTTTTCCTTTTTTTTAAGAAAAAAAAAAACAAAAAAAAAACTAAAAGTTTCGGGGCTCGAACCACCAACTTTGCTATCCACACTATCCAAATTTTGACCACCTTACGCTCTGCGCCACCGAGCACATCTTGATAAAAGTTTGGATTCGTTTATACTAATATAGGGACCGTGCGTCATGACTTTAACGCTAACTGGTGACAAAAATGTGAACTTTTTGGGGGGTATTTATTAATGTTTTATACGGCATTTATTGTTTAATAATTATTAATAAAATGATGTCAAATTATTTTCGTAATATCAATATCGAAAAAACTTGTTGCATCCGTGGATGTACAAACACATCACTTTAGAAACCTGGATTTCATTCGATAGTAAAGAAATTTTATAAATTTCCACAGAGCACAATTATGCCTCACACCCAATGATATACATAATTACAAAGATTGCTTATCCATATGTAAATCAGACGACGAAAAGCGTATTTCACTGGGCAAAGTTTTCTTTTTATCTAGCTTGTATCAATTTTGAGCACTTAGTTGTAAAGAAATCATTTACAGAAAAATAAGAATCTTTAGTGTTTTCTTGTCATTAAGATTTTTACATATTTAAATGACCATTTTATATAAATATAATTTTACAGATAATGGTTTATTCTGTTGATTAAAACTAATGTAGAATGTAATGAAATAAGAATATCCAATTTGACAAAAATATCACGGCCCTCTTTACAATTTATTAACTATTTCTCATTTATTATTAAAATAAACAAATCATAAATAATACATTTGCAATTACTGTCAAAAGAGATTGTAACAAACTTTAAAATATTAAAAATCCAGTGATTTTTTGTAAATTTTTTTAGTGACATTACCATTAAACATTATTCAGAATAATAGATAAGTGTCCAATTACAACTCTTACCAAAGTTGTTCATACCTCATATCAAAATTGTTTACATTACCTTTTCAAAATTGTATTACATATTGCAATTATGTATTTTATGTAGAATTGTTTCTGAAATAGTAGTCTAAAATTATTTATATCCATCTGTTATAAAAATTGTTTAGATCTCTTAATATTATTTAACTACATGAAAACTCAACTTTCCAAATACATAATGACATGTCTTGAAGTAAAACTTTAATTATTATCTTTTTCTAAAGATTAAAATGCTGAAATTTTATTTTAACACATTTGGGCTAGAACGGCTCTATTTAGTGAGCACTAAGAACGGCACATTGCAACCAGCTTTTCATAATTTTTTTATAGTTGGGTGAGCAATCTATAATATATGTATTATTGAACGCCAGTGGATGAATGACATTTCGATTAACATAAAGCTAAAAAGATTTATAATTATTATTATCAATCTTTTTTATTAATTTACATTTTTTAAATGTTATTGTAATACTTTTAAATTCAGTGTTACTAAATACCTATATTTTAACATTGGATACACTTGTTTAAGGTACAACTTTACAATTTATTGTCACTTAGCCATTTAAATCTTTTTGCTTAAAATGTATATGCATGTCCAGATTTTAATAATGTTTCACATTTTACGTCATTTTGACCATGTACACGATTGTTTGGTACGGGCCGATATCCATTTTTAACTATATTTAATATTTAAAAAAATACCCTTCATTATTTACTTGCAATGTTTACCCCATTTAATTCTAAAATTAAACACTAGAGAGGGCTAAGTTCGGCAGTAGTGCTGCCTCTATATTTCACGCACGGTCCCTATATAACATTTGATGACAAATATTTACGAATTATTACTTTTTAATTAAACAAAAATAAATTGGAAACAAAATTTTATCATGTCAAATGATACCTACATTGTAATTTAATGGAATCACATAAATATATGATTTAAAAACTATAAAATTATCATTATTACTTAACTTCTAGTTCTTGTATTGCATAAACGTTCCAGTCCGCAGACGTATATTTAACTCCGCTTCATACTAATACGAATTGGGTCGGATTCAGATAAAACCTTCCACGGCATTCAACGCTGCACCCCTGTGCCGGTTGGAGTGGGGGGTGTTAGGTTATTTTCGTTACGGTCGTTACGGAAATTTCTTAATTCGGTCGCCGCGCTCAAAGCCCGCGATAAAAGCTATGCAATAGCTTAAAATGAAAACCCACAAAAAAACATCTTCGATTTATTGTTTATATAAAAATGAGTTTATTCCACTTGGCCTTTCTACACTGTATGTGTATATAGTGTGTCTCAAAATTTAAATGTTAATTTTATACAAATAATACATACAACATTAGGTATTTTATACAAAGCCACATTTAAGAACGATTTAAATTATATTTAATCGACTTTATAAAGGAATAGCACAAAGTTCGCAAAAAGGATGGCATACTCAAACTTTTCATGTCGAAACCCTTTATATTGATTGTTTATGATATATTGAGTAATTGCATCATAACGGCGCGTTTGTCTTTGCTTCTCCTGGTTGTGTTAGCATTTTCGTAGTGAACCTCAACCATTTAAATGTTTTTTTCATCAGGGTTAATATTTAAGTCCCCATAGTCGAAGTCATCGTTCAGATGCTTTGCTTTGTTATGCAGAACAGCACAACTTATTATTACTGTTGGTACGTTGTTCAAAGCAATTAATAATAATAATAATAAAGCGTCTTTATTCATCAAGTTTTAGTATAAGTGTAAATATATACATATATAAGGTAGATGAAAAGGTGAAGTTCAGCTTGTGCTGATTTACAACTTAACCTGTAAATAACATTGAAATATAATAATATAATATAATAGAGAAAAAAAGTATAAAAAATGAACAGATTTTCAAAACCAAATTCGTTGCATCATATAATATATTTTTTTATGACCATTGCTTATTGAACAAAGATTCTTTTAGGCGTTTCTTGAAATTAAGCAAGTTATATGATTTAAATTCATCTGTAAGTTTATTGTACTCTTTACATGCAACATACGAAAAACATCTTTTAAATAGAGCCGTGTTATGATTCGGTACCACCAAGGTCATTCGATTCCGCGTAGGAAATTCATTAATATTGGAAAATGTCTTTAATTTGTTAACTAAATAATCAGGTTTCTGTATGAGTAAAACTTTGTGAACTTGGGTTAATAAATGCAAAAGGCGATAGTTATTGAAAGTCAACCAACCTGATTCTTTCATTTTATTCGAGATATGATCAAATTTTCGAATTCCATAGGCGAAACGTAGACAGCTATTCTGAATTTTTTGTAAACGAGCGGAATCGGATTGGAGTAGGGCTGGACCGTAGATAGAATCACAATAACTGAGTTTGGAAAAAATGAGAGATTCACAAAGTTTAAGTTTGAGTTGTGTGGAAAGCAGGTCTCGGTTAGGGTACAACTGTCTCAAGACGTTGAACGAACTTTGAGATATGGTGGAGGTATGTTTACTAAAACGAAGATCAGAATCTAACCAGAGACCTAAGTTTTTTCCTTCATTCGTGAATTGAAGAAGAGCATCGCCTAATTTAATTTGTAATGCGTTTATTGTTAATTGTCTTAATTTTTTGGGGCCAAATAACATGATGGATGATTTTTTAGAATTTATTTTGAGGTTGTGAGCTGTAGAAATATCAAGTAATGCATTTAAATCGTCGTTAATAAGATTTTGGGCAGTAAGTAAGCACTTATTATTAAACGAGTGATATAACTGGGTATCATCTGCATAATGATGGATCACACAATTTTTAACAAAACTATGAAAATCTGCTATATATAGTGAAAACAGCAATGGTCCCAGAATGGATCCCTGCGGAACACATTGACTAACGGGTAGACTGCTGGATAAATCAGCTTCCAAAATAACTTTATGAGTACGATTGCTAAGAAAATTTGATATTAGACGAACGGATTTATGAGAAACACCGAAAAATTTTTTGCAAAGTGTTGGATGATCTAAAGTATCAAATGCTTTGCTATAATCAAGAAGAACCAAACATGTGACTTTTCCCAGGTCTGTCGCTTTAAAAAGGTCATCCGTGATAGATAAGAGGGCAGTGGTCGTACTATGGTGTATTCTAAAGCCAGATTGAGCTGGAGTTATTATATTTTGGTCATATACATATTTGCTAATTTGATCTTTAAGTATAAATTCAAACGATTTAGAAAGGGTTGGTAGAATACTAATAGGACGCAAGTCAGATAAGCTA